CATGAGTTTATAGCTTTTGTCACTGGTGGTGCCATGAGATGAGTCAGTGGCTGTGCTCCTGTCTGCATGCTGCACAGAGGGAGAGGAAGGTGGGAAAGAGAGAGGGTGGAAGTTGGGAACATTTCTGCATTCCAGGGCAGGAGTCATCCTGCAGCTGGAGGAAAGCTTGGAGGACTTTGAGCTTATCCAAAGCACTTCTTATTTCGTTGTGCCTTTAAGCAAAACTCAAATCTGAGTATTTAAATGGTTTGCAAACACGTATTTGTTCACCCTAGGAAAAAAAGGTAGTTAATTATTATGTGTGTCTGCTAAATGTAACAGGAGTTCATGGGCCACTAACAAGATCTGGATTTCTGGAGTTTCTGTCAAAAACCACTCCCCTTGTAATTGATAAAGTTGGGAACCTCGTTATTATGAGCAACCTTGGGAAAACATCTGAGTTGCCTAAAATTCATGTTGTACATATTCTTATCTCTGGGTAGCTGCTGCTTCAAGCCAGCCATGCAAGATTCAAATTTAATTAAGGCTTTTTATAATTCTGAAGGGCATCTTGCTCACAGTGAATATGTCTGTTAAATATTATATTCCTTTTGGACACAATAAGTCATAGTTTTACATAGAGAATATAGGTTAAGAAATTTGCAATGGACTTTGGCCCTGAGCACAACAGTTCAACCAAGAGATTTTTGCATTTTATTTGAAATGCAAATCTCAGATGAGGACCTAGAGTGTAAAACAAGCTTAGCAAAATAATTTTCAGAAATTCAGACCAGTTTGCTCTGCCTGCACTTCCTGGAAGATCTCATTACTCAGGCAGTTGTAACAAACAGGGTTGCAATATCTCTGTGGGCTGGGCTCTAAATTAGTATGAGCGTGTGGCTTAGAAGAGATGATAATAATTTAGACTTATGTCTGCTTAACAGTAAAACTTTGGCTATTCATTGCAAGGAATTTTCACTGATCAGGCCAAAAAGTAAATTCTTTTCCTCCCAGAGACCTGAAAAGGTGAGTAGCCTGGTTCTTCTATTTTTCTGGCATAGGAATTAATCTAATAAATCCTAAATTTGATGATATTGAAGCTCGTGTTGTAATGTGGGAGGTAGCTTTTATTCAGTCCTTGCCAAAGCTGAAAAAAACTTGTTTTTTTTTTTAAATATATATATATTTACATAAGTAAATAAGTCATGGTGTTCTGCATCTGTTGATGTCATTCAGGAATGGAAACTGCAAAAAAGATTTGTGATTAAAATACCAGCAAATAGATGGATCCTCTTTGAGGGACTGTTACAAGTGTCTTCTCATTTAATAATGTTTTAAAAAGAATCCCCAGCTGGAGATATTTCTGTAGAATTAGATCAGCAATGGAAGCTGAAAGCCCAGGAGATCTAACAAGCTCTTTTCAGAAGAGCCAAACTGTGAGAAGGGAGTGTCTGGGAAAGTGAGACTTGCCTGGAGCACAAGCAACAGGTCTGTCTAGAAAAAAAAAGATGTCAAGCAAGTAATATTACATTATCTCTGCACAGCAAAGAACATTGCTTTTATTAATAAATCCTTCTTTGATCAGCAGGTTTTGTGCAGCCTAGTGCAGCCAGGCAGCAAATTCACCGTGGCTGCAGGTGGGAAAAGGGGCTGGCTGTGGAGGCAGGGAGGAGATGGGAGATTTATTCTGGTGGAGGTTTCCAGCAAAACTTTCTGGCTTCTGCCAAGGTTTTGACTGGAGGTTTTTTGACAAGTGAATTTCTGAGTTTGTAATGCAGGGTATCAGTGTTTTCTGTGCCTTTCTCACCACCTCAAGTGACGAGATGACACCTCATCTTCAGATGTTCCCAAGGAATGTGCTCCTGCATTTCTTGTTTGAGCAGCCCACGGAGCAGCAGCTTTCATCACAAAAGAGTGCAGCCTAGAAATACAAATTCTGCTCTATATTTAGCACTTTTCACTCCTTTTCTGCCTTCTAACTCTGAGCCAGAAACCTGCTGCCCTGATTTCCCAGCACAGCTGGTGGCCCTGTGTTCCTGGGGGAGATGCTGGTGGCAGCAGGAAGCCTTGGTGGCCCCTCTGGCACCTGTTGGCTGTAGGTGGATTTCCTGTGGCTGAGGTGATTATTCCTCATGGTATGGCTGCTCTGAACCACAGGAAATACTTTTTCCTGTAAGGATTGGGATCATTGCAGCTGAGAGGTCTCTGGTGGCAACAGAAGATGGAATCCTCCCAAAAAACCAACAAGTGGAAGCAGCAGGGTCAGGGGGAGTATGTGGAAAGCTCACGCGTGAAAGGAAGCACTCTGAAATTTTAAGTTTGTATCAGCTGATTAATGATTTTCCAGATTATTCTGAGCACAATTTGCATTATTTCCAGTGCCATTAAATGAAATACTTGGGTGGCACGTACTTTAGTTAAATTTAGCATTGCTTGTAGTTTAAAGATTATTTTGACAAAAAAAAAAAAAAAAAAAAAACAAACCCTTTAAATTAATTGTAGCCTTGGGTGGCACTAAAGATGAGGCATTCTCACATTGCTCTTCAGATCAATGTGATCTGAAGTTAAACCCTGCCTTACCCACTGTGACAAGCCATAAATGGCAGAGCTCAGACTGGAGCATTGCAATTTCTGACTCATCCCTGCATCTGTCTCTCTGGATCCTGGGGTTATCTACATTAACTGGAGCCAACAGAGGATGCTGATAACCCAGAGCTTCTTAATAAATCAGCTTTCTCTTGTGTATGTGGAGAAAAGCCCATCATGTCTCAGGATTCTTAGTTTTCAAGGGAAGAAAATAACTTGTCCAAAGTCCAAACTACTTGAATTCTCAGCACAAGTAATCCCATGATAAACAGGTATTTCAGCAGCACAGGGACAACAGGCCCCACAAACACAGGTTTTTACATTGCCTTTGCAGGCTGGGTTTATTTATTAGGATTATTTGAATTATTTGAAGGATCTCTCTCTCATCAGACAGGTGTCTTTTGTGATAGGTTCAATTTTAACAGCTATTTCAAACCCCAGCTGTTACGAGTTGCTGTGAAAGAAGGCTGAATGCCAAAGGGACGGAATTTCAGCCTTGATGGAATAGAAATCCGAGTTCTGTGTGCCTGTGTGGGCTGTGAGAGCGCTGGGGGCTGTGTCAGAGCCCTGAGAGTGGCACGAGCACAGTGCCAATAACACACAACACACAGGAGCTGTCCCTGCTCCTCGCCCTGTGGCACTGCTCTCGTGCCTCAGCCACCAAGTGATGTGCAGAAGGGTTTTATTCCAGAGGGGGTTTTTCCTCTGGCAGTGAAATGGACTGCATAAATTCTTCTCCCCTTCCAAATGTCATCTGTTGGCAGCAGCAGCTGCTGCCTTGAAGAGTCCACCAGCTCACAAGCAGAGACTCATTCTGGAGGATGTTTCTCTTTATTTTGGTTATCCCTAATGTCAGATGGTAACATGAACGCATTTAATCCTGTCTTAAAGTAGCAGCAGCAACTTCAGAGAGCTCATACCCAGGACATTTGGCTGCTGGAACAGAAAGAATTGGATTTTCAGTGTCACAAAAGAGGGGGTGGAAAGATGGAATGGGGATATAGAAAGGAGGAGTAAAAACTATTTTGGAACTTTCTTTGCTCTTAAGGCAAAAAACCAAAAAGCAGAGCTCCTACTTCTATTACTTCTATTACTTCTATTACTTCTATTACTTCTATTACTTCTATTACTTCTATTACTTCTATTACTTCTATTACTTACATAATATACTTATATTTACTTATATTTACTTATATTTACTTATATATACTTATATAATATACTTATATATACTCATACAATATACATATATTTACTTTTATTACTTATATAATATACTTGTATTTACTTATATATACTCATATAATATACTTATATATACTTATATATATTTATAATTATATATTTACTATTAATATTTATATAATATAAGTATATTTACTTATAATATACTTATATTATACTTATACTTATATAATATATTTACTTATATTTACTTATATATGCTTATATAATATACTTATATATACTCATATAATATACTTATATATACTCATATAGTATACTTATATATACTTCTATATGCTTATATATTTACTATTAATATTTATAGAATATAAATATATTTACTTATAATATACTTATATTATACTTATATAATATATTTGTTTATATTTACTTATATATACTTATATAATATACTTACATATACTCTTATAATATACTTATGTATACTTATATAATATACTTATATATATTTATATATACTTATATAATATACTTATATATACTTCTATATACTTATAATTATATATTTATTATTAATATTTATATAATATAAGTATATTTACTTATAATGTACTTATATAATATGCTTATATTTACTTATATTTACTTATATATACTCATACAATATACTTCTATATACTTCTATATACTTATAATTATATATTTACTATTTATTTACTATATATTTACTATTAATATTTAAATAATTAAAATAATATAAATAATTTAAATAATATAAGTATATTTACTTATATTATACTTATAAGATTTCTCCTTATAGGCTAGATGTGTTTTGCCCCATGTCTTCATTCCTTCATTGAACCTCAGCCAATCCTCATTTTTTCCCCACTTAGGAAAAGGATGAAATGCACTGGACTTTGACTCTAGGAAATCCTTGTTGAGGATGAGGGGCAGGAGAATCTCAGGCTTCCAGTACTGGAAATTATTTGGGGTTTTTCTTTTATTTGCATTTGATTGTTTTAGTAAAATCTCTTTGCAGCAATGAATCAGAGCTCCCAAGTCAGCAGTCAAGAATAGGAATTGTTAGTTTTCTATTTACTGGGCTGTATTTTTCTATCCCTAAGCTGCATTACCAAGCTCTAGCATGGATTTTGTTTGTGTAACCTAATGTATAATGTGCACAGTGAAATATATTTTGCCATCAGGCTATTTAGTGTAATAAATATGGTTTCTTCTGTTTTTTTCAGTAGAGGGAGTAAAGACCTGAGGAAATCCCAGATGATGGCTTCTGATGCCAGTCACATGCTGGAGGCAGCTTTGGAGCAGATGGATGACATCATTGCAGGTACAGCAATGCTTCTTTCACACCATCCTACCCTGACATTTAACTAGCTTTGGTTTTTAATAATTATCCTCAATTTATCAAGTTATCTGACATGCACATTTCACTATTCACACTCTGGTTCAGTATGTGAAATATGAATTCAAGCTATGTGGAGAACAAACTGAAATTAAAATAAAGGAAGTAAAATAAACCCTACAATTTCCCCTCAGACAGGTGAGTATTGAAATAAGAGATTTACTTTGCTTTAATACTCTGTGGTAGCTTAAACACATCCTCAGCCACATGATAACATTACATATTTCATATGTTAGGTTCTTATTTATTATATATATAACATTTCTATATTATAATATATATTATTTTATATTATGTATATTATTTACATATTATTTATATAAATATTAGTATTCATATATATAAAATATATATTTGCAATATATAATTTATATAAATATTAGTATTTATACAAATCTATATTATATTTATAATATATTTATTATATATTATATAATATATAATATTATTTATATAAATATTATATATACATAATATAGATAATTATGTATATTTATTTCTATTTTTATATTATATAAATAAATAATTTTATATTTATTATTTATATATATATAATTAATTTTTTTAATATATATATATTAATAATTTGCTCTTCTTGCTGCATTTGTGCTGCTCCTTGATCCTCCTCCTGCTCCTCCAGGAAAGCTTTCTGTCCAGAGACTGATATGGGGCTCCAAATGCCACCACCAGGCTGGGTCATCATCCAGGGTTTTTAGTTTAAACAATCACTAGTGTTTGTTTTTTGCATCCTCATGTGAGTCTTTGCTTTATTCTAAATGTTCAGGTTTCAGCAGTCTGCTGAGATACACGGAATTGTGAACATGAATGTGGGGATAGAAATAATTGGAATGATTTTCCACACTGATGGAAAAAACTCTAGGCAAATAGGAAAAATCCCACAATTATTTCCTTGTCCTGAATGCAAAACCTTATTCTAAAGTTTCCAAGACTGAATCTTATTCCAAGATTTCAAACAACAGAAGTTAACTGGGATTTTATTTTCCCACACCTAACAGAAGCACTGAGCTTCCCTCAGAGGTGTAAGGAGAAAATAAACAAAGCATAATATTTAATAATTCATAAAGCAGGAAAGTGCAAGTTTTTAGGCACTGCAAGGCCAGGGATGGGATGGAAGCTGTGCTCAGGAATCACCTGTGCACAAATGGAACTCGCTGTCTCCCTTCTGGGGTGATTTATTCTCTGCACACACTGCAGAGCTCATGGGTGCACTGATGGTCCCACCCTTCAAAAAAATCCAGAGAATGAAAAAAGAGACACTGGATTTAAATTGATTTTCAGATTAAACACTATTTTTTTGTGTGTTTGCTTTTTTCACCCAGGAGCTCTCAGTTGGGAGCCAAGTCCTGGTTTATGACAAGAGGTGTTCAGTGCTGGGTGTTTTTTCATGGTCTGGAAAGGCAGCCTCATAATATGTGGCATAACTGATTAAATAGCAACATACAACAGCTTAAGAAAATCATATTTTTTCCTAACTTTTGTGCCAGAAAAATAATTGAGGCCAGAGGACAGCTTTCATTTTTGTTGGATGATTGCTTTCAATATTCTTCTCCCAGCTCCTTCTTCAGATTGCTTGTGCTGTACCATTTCAGGGTTTAATCTTGATAAATAAGGAATAGAATTAAATTTCTCCAGGTTTTCCACATGACATCACTTTTACCCCCATCACTTGCCTGTCCTGGCAAGTGATGGGGTTAAAAAAAGGTAAAAAAGGTAAAAAAACTTTTTGAGTTTTAAAAAAAGTAAAAAAACCCTTTTTTTAAATTCAAAAAGACTCAGGTGTGCCAGTGGAATGTGGAGTTTATTTATGGGCAGCCTCTTCAGGAGAGCTGAATTTGTGACTTTGCATTAATTATCTTTCCAGTCTTATGTCCAATGCATAACATGGAAAACAGGCTTGAATAAAGATATCTAATGTGTGAATAAAGATATCTAATGTGTGAATAAAGATATCTAATGGGAGAAGAAACAAAATATTTCCCAGGAAATCCATCTGTGTTCCCTCATCAATGTTAATTAAATGCTTCCCATATGATTTCAGAGTTATATCTACCTGTATTAATAAAGAAACATATTGATTTATTCTTTTACTTAGGAAAAAAACCTCAGTTCTTTGGAAAGGTTGTTTACCTTATTTCTTTATTATTTTCCTTTAGGAATAGATAAACCTTTTTAAGACAGGTTAAGTCTGTTGTCACTCTCCTCTAGCCAATGTTCTGTGTGTTCCAGGACAATTTCTTTCAATATTCTGGCATGACTGAAGGACCAAGTAGATCTGCTGAATATATTGAATATAGCTGTTATCCCAATTTGTCTGAAACTGAGGAACAGGATGATTATTCAAGTTTGATTCTCCCTAATTCAATCCAGTAAGCTTCTGTATGTAATTTGGGCAGGGACTGGAAAACAGGAATGGCCTCTTGTCCTGTATGGTGAGAGATAAAAAATCAGGTAGAAATCCTCCTTGAAAGGATGACTGTACTGAAACAAACCAGGAATGAGATTCCCTCAAATATGGGAAAAATCATCTCTACAAATGTAGCTGCTCTTAGAGCTGACAGGAAACAGCAAAAAACAAAAATCAGTTGTGAAGAGTTGTGCTATTTCAGTTCACTGTCCCCAGATTCTGGGGACATCTCCAGGATTCAAAGACCCAGGTTAAACTTTGTGGCTGATGTAAACTTAGGCAGCTGATAAAAAAAAAAAAGATGTTTTCTTTTGCAACGAGGCCTGAGTGAGAACTGGGAGAGCCACGTGCTTCTCTTGGCCTCAGAAACCTCATCCTGAGGCACAAAATCAGCATTAATCCCATTTTAGAGAACTGAGGAGTCCAGAGGTGTATATCTGACATTGCTTAACTTTTGGAGCTTGAGTATAAATATATATATATATATATGCACATGCAAAACCAGCATCCTCTCTCTTTCATCAGCCCTCATTTCTTTGCTTTATTATCATTAAAATATTGGGTTGTGGCCTTGTCCTTTAGGGGAATATAGAACAAGAACTATATGCAAATATATATTACAAGTATTTACAGATTTGCAATATATATAGATGTATGAAAATATATATTACAAGGATTTACAGCTTTGCTATATTTATATTTATTTATATTTATATTTATATTTATATTTATATTTATATTTATATTTATATTTATATTTATATTTATAGTTATAGTTATAGTTATAGTTATATCTATATTTATAGTTATAGTTATATTTATATCTATATTTATATTTATATATTTATATTTATATCTATATTTATATTTATATATTTATATTTATTTATATATTTATATTTCTATCTATATTTATTTATATATGATATAATATATATTATATTATATTATATTATATTATATTATATTATATTATATTATATTATATTATATTATTATATTAATATATATATTTATTTTTTATACTTTTATATATTTATATATAACATATATAAATTTATATATATATAACATATATAAATATGTTTATATATTTTATGTTTACATTTATACAAATATTTATACAAATATTTATGCAAATATTTCTATTTATACAAAAATTTATATTTATACAAATATTTATATTTATGAAAATATTTATACAAATACATATTAGAAATATTTCCAGATTTGCACTTTCATCCATCCAGTCCCAGAAGTGCCAGCCCTTGCTCCAAGAGGTAACATCTCCACTCCTGATTTTGATTTATTCAGCCAAGGAGCCCCCACTGCAGCCTGTGCTCGTTCTCAGTGCAACACAAAACCTATTAGTGCTCAGACTGCATCAGGGGGGAGGATTGGGAGGCAAGATTAACAAATTGAATTTCCCTGATCAAATTTGACAGATAGGTCAGTGTTCCCAAGCCTTTTCTGCCTGGGTACATCTGCACTGATAACCCGCCCTCGTAGCTATAGAAATTAGGCACGCTGAATGATTAGTCTTATTTGACTAAAATAGCAAAAAGGGCTAATGTGATTGTCAATGCACATCACTTATCCATTAGCTGGAGTGGCTTGCACTCCAAACAGAGGCTTCCTCTAAAGAAAGCACCAAATATCAGATCCATCTCCTCATTCTTCATTTAAGGTGCGTGACTTTGGCATTGGCTCCCTCTGAGCTTTAAACAAATCCTTGCTTCTCCTTTTATTCAGCTTGTACCCTTTATTAAAATGCGTTTCTTTATAGAGCATTTTTGGTTATTCTTCTTTGTAATATATCATAACAAAGTAATTAGTTTTCATTTTGCAATTATTTTATATAAAACTGCTTCTCTCCGACATCGATTTTTAAATCCATTATTTCCCTCTGTGATTAGTGACCATTAATTGTAAGGGCTAAAACCTCCCATCACAATAGAGCCTGCTGCAGAATCTCTTCAAATTCACCAAGTCATCAGTGTAATTACTGAGTTCCCTTTTACTCCTGCAATTATTGCTCACTGGAAAAATAATGAGAAAGTTCAAGGTGTTATCACACGGCTCTGTACTAATATTTCAGTATTAGCACAGAAAGATTAAAAGAGGAAATACAATTAAAAAGTTGTCCAAGGGGTGTTGGATGTTTGAATTCCTTTCTGGGCTGGCAGAATGTTGGTGCTCAGTTCATGGCTTTGGCTGCTGTGTTAGAAACCCAAGGAAAGGCACCTCCAGAGGAAATTGTTCTTTACAGATAAACAGGCTTTTATTTAAGTTTAATACATTTTCTTCATGGGATTTACCAGCCAGAATTTGAAGGAGGAGCTGTTTGTGGGGATTATTAAATCACCTCTGCTAAGTGATTAGAACTTGGATTCTAAACAAAAAAACCACGCTGACACTCACTTGAGCTCCTTGGGATGGGCTTTGGGTTGTGTGGAATAAAGTTTGCACTGAGTTCCTGGACACATAAAAAGAAACCACA